TTACCAAATGGAGTTGGCCGAACTACAGACTTGTGACTTGCTGAAAGATGCATTCAAATCAAGCAGCCTTACTAATTTCTATGCATCTCTCCCCTCAGAGACATATCACAATCTCAGGAAACATGCACTCAACATTGCAACCGTCTTTGGCAGCACCTATGTCTGTGAGCAGACGTTTTCCCAAATGAAACATCTGAAATCTCCAGTCAGATCCAGACTAACTGATGGACACTTGCATCACTTGCTACGACCAGCAGTGACAAATATGGAACCTAACATTGACCATCTCATTAGCCAAAAGCAGGCCCATAGTTCACATTGAAATATTATTTGGTTTTGTTGATTACAATTGTTCTTCATTTTAAATATTGCATTCTTTTTCCTGGTTTTTGTGCACTACTACAAATAAAATATGTGCAGTGTGCACAGGAATTCGTTCATTTTTTTCCAGACTATAGTCCGGCCCCCGACAGTGTCTGAGGGACAGTGAACCGGCCCCCTGTTTAAAAAGTTTGAGGACTCCTGATCTAGACAATGCACAGTTACCTTTAGATCCAGATGAAGTCCAATGCAGTTTTTTGCAGTTTTATTCTTGAAACATTTTAGGCAAAACGGAATCCTTAATCTGTGCCTCTGTTTCTATTACTCACTGTTCTCTGTCGTTTCCCACTTTGCTCAGCAAGTGTATTTCCTAATAGCTAGATGATCCCTTTGCACTCCCTTTCATATAATTTTCTGCTTATTTGCAGGTCTGTCTAGCTTTATAAATCTGCTAATTGCCTAGGCATAAGATGTGTCAATTAAATCACAGAAGGAAAACTAAAGAATGGAAAGTCCTTATTCACATCCTTTAGTTTATATTCTACTTTGCAAACAGCATTTGCACTTCTGCAATATACATAGCTGTGGTTTTTCTGAAAACAACTGATCCCCTCTGGCCAAGACAGTTTTTTATACTGGTTATACTAAGGTTTAGGCCTGGAGGTTTGAGGCCTTCTACAGAAGTCATAAGCTGAGAATTATACAATTCTAATGTAATTATGTAAAAGCAATTCTAATTGCTTTCAGTGTGAACTGAGAATGTAACATTTCATTCTCTGACATTGCTAAATGCATGCCCTTAAAGAATTTCTACAGTTTATTTTTTGCTTTTTATTATCAAAACTTGAACTGTCACTAAGATCTGATTATGTGATAATAATCAGATTATTATAATAATAATCACTCAACAGTGTACATTTTGTCCTATTAGGAATGATTTGTCAGGTTTCAGGGACTTCTGAGTATCTGCTGTTAAATTTTTAAAAGTAGAGGATTGCAGGAACTGGTGATGCTTGTTTAGCTTCATGTAAATTGCCTTCATGTACAGTTCATGCTGTACCATCACCCAGTCATCCAATTGTCATCCAGTTTTGTTTGTTTCCATTTTTTGCTGTCTGTAGCTTTGCTACCGAGGAAAATATCAGTGAAGCACATTTACGGTTACGTAGGGCAGGAAACTGCTTTGCTCACTGCAGGGTGCTCCAGTACCTCTTAGGGGCATCGGGAGTAAATGTGAGTCTGTACTGGTCCAGCAGCATCAGATTGGTTGCACGGTGGAGTTAGATCTTCCATATCTATTCCCTTTGTACTATGTTTTACAGTTCTTGTGCTTGGAACAAGGGAAACTTGCTATTATTTAAATGTCAGCCTTTACCTTATGCAGTATGGTGTGTCTGTACATTTTATAATTTTTGTTTGGACTGGATTTTTTTTTCTTTGCATGTTTCCAGCACTGTGTTGGTTAGACAGGTTTTTATATTTAGCAAGCGAGGTAATTAAAATTTTATGCAGTACTTTGCAAATTATGCATTGTCAGAAAATAGGCATTAGCAGTTTTCTTGCTCTGTTGAAGAAATTCGTGTGGCGTATGGCCTGACATTTGTTGGAGGCAACTGAGTAGAAACTGCACTAAACCCTAAACTTAGTGGCTGTATGGATAAAGGTAGTATGTTATGAACATGTCAACATATCTTCTGTATGGGAAGGTTAGCAACCATTGAGCACAGGGACAAGGGGAAACTCTACCATAAAATGAGGGACACCTGAATTTGGCAAAGTCATTCAATGAAGTATCTGCATAAGAGGGAGTATTGCCAAATGGATGAGTAAATTAACTGGTCAGAAGAGTTTGTGTTCAAAGGAGCATTCAGAACTGAAGTCTTGAGGTGGGAGGAGACAGCTCTATGAAACTCTCAGCTCAGTTCTTGTGGCAGCCACCCAAGTAGTGTGAGCACTGGGAATTCTTAGCAAAGGAGTAGAAAACGGCACAAGGGTTTCCTGCTACAGTATAAAGCTTAACGTGTAGCGATAATGGGGTTTCAATTTCCTTCTTTTGCTTTTTTTTCTTTATTTTTTTCTTTTCTGATTCATTCCTAATCAGATGGGTTCTTCACAGCAGAGCTGCAAATGTAGTAGCCAATGTACTAGCTGAACGTATTATGCCACATCCTCCTTGATTTGTTTTCCTTATGTGTTCAGACTTCATATTGCTTCTCAGCAAAAGGAAGTGCCAGACCATAGAGTTATAGGTGCTCTCAGAGACACTGACGTCTTGAAAATCTTGTCCAGCTGAGCAGAGACTTTTGTGGTGTCCTGAAAGCAGGGGCAGGTGAGTAGTATTTGCAGTTTCTTTGCAACAGGACTTGCAGTTTCAAAGGAAGGTACGGAGTCAGATTTCCTGTCTTTGTTTTGTAAAATAAATGGACTGGCTAATGCGCTGTCTAAAATGTCCTCGTATCCGCTACAAAAGCAGAAATGTATTTCTGAATGTATAGAAGTGTGATTGCAGTAGAAGTTCCTTCACTTTAATAAAAATATGCATGTAATCTTGAAACTTGCTCACCGTTAGAGCTGCACTTTCCTGCCTTCTCTACAGCAAGGGCTCTGTCCCCTCTGTACCTGCTTTCTGTTTTACAGCTTACCAGGTTAAAAGTGATTGCCAGTATTCACCCATCTGTGGTTTGAAGGGAGGAGGAAATGGGTATGTAAAAAGCAGAGTGGGGTTTTTCGCTGCCTGTAACACCCACAGCACATGCTGGCATTTCTCTGCAGGAGAAGAAAATGTTCTGGGAATCCAGAGCTGATGATTTGTGTATCGGCTGCCTCTCCTCTATCCCCCAAGCCCTAGTGCCTAGTGGGTAGTGATGGCTCTGTGCTGTTGCATTTGGAAACCTCCTAGTAGTGCTGACAAGTCATCTTTTGGCTACCTGGAGAGTTTAGGATGTGACCCTGTTGCAGTAACCAGGGGTGAATGAGAAATGGGATTGCACCAGCTGGGTTGTCTGTCCTCTTCCCTGTCTGTTTGGTCATAGCTGTAAGATTAGAGTGTTTGCTCTTTCCTGCAGCTCTGAGTTCTGGAGCGCGGGGATCTGGATTTCAGCAGAGGGAGGCAGGAGAAACCACAGAATCATTTAGGTGGGAAAAGACCTTTCAGATCATCGAGTCCAACCACTAACCTAACATTGCCAAGTCTACCACTAAACCATATCCCTAAGTTCCACATCTACGTGTCTTCTAAATACCTCCAGGGATGCTGACTCAACCACTTCCCTGGGCATCCTGTTCCAAGGCTTGACAACCCTTGCAGGGAATAAATTTTTCCTAATATACAATCTAAACCTCCCCTGGCTCAACTTGAGGCCATTTCCTCTCGTCCTAAATGCCCCAATCCTCCTTGCTGCTTCTTGATGTGCTTTTGCCCATTAACCTTTGGGGCCCCTGTGGTGGGCCTGGGAAGTGCTGGTTCTGCTGTCCTTCACTTTAAGTGGAGTCAAGGGTGGAAATGCTGGTGCTACTGCTGAGAACGTAGCTACAATTACTTCTCTTTTTGATGCTGCCTTGGTAATAATCTCTTCCTCTCCATCCCTCCATTTTGCAGAAGGAAGAGACGAAATAAGGGTAAGGTGGTGGGTGGATTTGCATATCCAGGTGATTCCACTGGCAGAGCTGAGCAGGTCACAGCCAGCATGGCCTTTGCATCCTGGGTTGGTGACAGCTGGGTTAGACAGCATCCTCTACCAGAGGAGGTAGAAGTGAGGACTTGGCAGGTGAGCAGAGTTGAGAAGCAGCCTTGAAACTCTCTACCTGGCAGTTCTTGTCCTTATTGCCTGCATCTTCACCGTGCAGTTCTTGTCCTTGTTGTCTGCATCTGCCTCCAAAGCTGCCTTGTATCAATTCCCCTCCCACTATCCATCCATTCTGCTGTGTTACGGTGCCATGAAGAATGAGCCAGGCTCTCTGTAGGGGTGGGTGGTTGATGGCAAAAGGCAGCAACTGCTGGTTCAAGAGCCTGGGAGACTGAGGCCTCTTGAAAGGAACTGATGACAGCACTGGGGATTTAGTATTGTGTTTGGTTTTGGGGACAGGTTGTGTATCAAGGGGGAAAACTCTCATCATGAGAAAAAAATTCTAATCAGGGCAGCAGTTCCACACACACAGCTCTGTTGACAGAGCTCCAGGAATATTCATAAGGAGCATTCCTATTTCCTTGTCCTAGGGTTTTTTTGCATAAATATCTATCTCATGACCAGAACACCCTGACATTCTAGAAGATGAAAGCTGAGGTCTCTAATGCTGTTTCTCAAGTTTGTTGTGCGCTGCCATGAAGGTGTGCCATTTGTGTGTCAAATGCTGTACATCCTTCAGGTGGCAAGCACAGCTTACATGGACAATATACGTGGTGGAAAGAACTGAGGATCAGTCTTGGTTTGTGATGTACAGAAAGGAGAGATTGTCCGTATTTTGTGCTTGAAAGAGAGGGATCCAAAGGCTTTATGAAAATACAGAGAAGCCAGACTGTTTGAGAAGTGACAAAAGGCATAATTGAAGCATGCTGGCCTGAGGTGACAGAGGGAGAGTTCTGTTCTGCTGTGGCACTGTCCCAGTGCTCATGATGTGCTGCCTTGCCTGTCAGTGGTTTTTTTTTCTTTCCTCCCCTTCAGATCACGACGGTTGTCTTGGGAGAGCAGGCTCTACCAGGAGAGAGACTGCCCAGGATGTCCATCTGCCTGCCAAAACTGACCACAGTGGTGCTGAGCCACAAGCTCAGGGCTCTGTTTATTGTCACCATTTCATTTGTGTTCTTTGCCTCTGTTATGTTCTACTGGAGAACTGGGGAGGACGCTGAGGGCCAGCTCTACAGCTTGCCTCCACAAAGCAGGTGTGAACAGTTTTTTCCTTGCCTTCCCCATCCCACTGCTGGCAGGCCCCGTCCTCTAACAGGGAACATATTTTTTGTGGAGACCTCAGAGCAAACTAGTCCAAGTTACCTGTTCACATGCTCTGTGGAGTCAGCGGCCAGGACGCACCCCGAGACAAGGGTCGTGGTGCTCATGAAAGGTTTGGCAAACAGTAACGCCTCCTTACCCAACCACTGGGGCTTTTCATTGCTGAGCTGCTTCCCCAACGTGGAAATCCGGCCCCTGGACTTGCCAGAGCTTTTCTCTGGAACACCTCTGGCAAAGTGGTACTTGCAGTCTGAGCACCAGAAGGAACCTTTCTTCTTACCCGTTCTGTCTGATGCCTGCAGAATTGCCATCATGTGGAAGTTTGGTGGCATCTACCTGGACACAGACTTCATTGTGCTGAGGAACTTGAAGAACCTCACCAATGCCCTTGGTATGCAGTCTAAGTATTTACTGAATGGGGCTTTTTTGTCCTTTAAACCAAGGCATGAGTTCATGGCACTTTGTATGCAGGACTTTGTGGAGAACTACAACAGCTGGATCTGGGGGAACCAGGGCCCACAGCTCCTAACACGTGTCTTCAAGAAGTGGTGTTCCATCAGTGATATCCAGAACAACATGAGCTGCAAAGGTGTGAGTGCTCTTTCCCCTGAAGCCTTTTATCCTATTCACTGGGCAGACTGGCAGAAGTTGTTTGAAGCAATCAGCTCCTCAGAGCTTCACCATCTCTTTAATAACACCTATGCAGTGCACGTATGGAACAAATTGAGCCACGGGGCAAGGTTGGAGATCACGTCTCAGGCTTTGCTGGCTCAGCTGTATTCTCAGTTCTGCCCTGCCACATGTGCAAAGATGAAGAACTCTGAAGAGCAGTCAAGGCCTGCAATGTGACCTTTGGGCCCTTGGCTGCAGAGATGTTCCCCAACCTGAAGGAAATGAGTGCCTTTCACCTTCCACAGAGCAGGTATTCTGTGCGACAGCTCAGTGCTTTTGTGCCTTGTCCGATATCTGCCTCAAATCCTACGAGCTTCAAATAAACACTAGAAACTGAGTTGTGACTCTCTTGTTGTCCTTCAGTAGCCCTTGATGCTGCAGGCAAAGGTGAACTTGTTCATCGGTGCCCATCAGTTGCTCCTCTGTTGCTGTTCTCTCAATTGTATTGGGGCTGAAAAGCCTCTCGTGTAGTGTCAACAGTTCAAGGAACCCTTGGCTTGCTGCCTGTAGCATTTCTATGTATGTAAATAAATGCCAGCCAGTGCTATAGGACATGGTTCAGAGGAGCTTAGGACCAAATTCCCTGGGTGGTAAAGATTCATATGGCTGGTGAAATTTTGGGAGACTGGGAGTATATGAAAATTGCTTTAAGAAATGGAAAACATTTTAAATCCCTGTGTGGCTCAGTGTAAAGTTTTTCTTGTTTTCCAAAGGTATTTTATTTCAAATTATCTTTTCTGCTGTTTTACATTCCACAGTGATACGCTGACTTTTTTGGTCCTCTTCGGGAAAACAAATAGCCAAAAGCAGTTCTTTTACCAGTGTGAGTAAAGAGCCTTGCTTTGCTGGAGAAATCTCAGCATCTGCCTGTTTCTGCATTGGTATGAGAAAGAAAAGCATCATCTTCCTTTTACTGGATTATTGAACACGTTTTGGAAGAAGAGAGGCAGACATGTCCATATCAGTAGAAGGACCAGTGACCAGGTCTAGGACTAGGACAAGTGTCCCCAGTGACATCTGATTATTGTCACAGGGGATCTAGTCAATGGATTATGCGGGGTCATTCATCTAACCCTAATGCAGATTACACAAGCAGGTAAGCGACTGCAGGCATCACTGCCTGTAATAGGAACACAGGTGCCTATACCATGGACTTTTAAAGTTAGGTGAGATAAAGCCAACTGTGGTTTCTGGAAAATGTGGGCTAAGCCAATGGAACCCGCTGTTAACCTGATGACCATTTTCACATTTGATTGTTTTTCCTGTGTGCCCAGGGCACTGTAATTGTAAAAATGAATTTGAAATTAACCTCTTATGAAATGAAGAGAGAAGAAGAAAACGTTGTGTGGTTCTGCTGGTGCCAAATCAAATTTCTTTTCTGGAAGGCCATATGTAAGCAATGTGGAGTTATTGCTCTTTCTGATATGCCATAGCTAACAAATAAGAGAAATATTTGTATCAATTTTAATGTAGCCTTTTCCTAACTTCCATGATCTGCCAAAAAGTACAGTGTCATCATATATGAAAGAAGACTGATGTAAGTTTGATCCAGGCTTTAATATGAGCAGGAGTACTTTTCAAGGTTTGTCAGACACTGAGCCATGATACACTCTTAATTAGACTCTCCATTGCAGACCAAAAGTGAGTGAGTCATCAGTGTTACTTGAAATAAGTTGTATAAAACAATGCATCAACTTACTCTGCTGTCCAGTCCCATGTGCACCCTCCCCCCCAAAAAAAAAGAAATGTTGCCTGGTCACTCTAACTACTAGTCTTCACTACTGGTGCTGAGGAGTACTGGATACGCTGTTCCAATGTGATGCCCATGGCGGCAAACAACCATCTGTAGTTCATACTGCTCTATCTTCACCGTTTCACGTGTGACTCTTTCTTCAGCCAGTAGGAAAATGATGGTGTAAAGGGCAAATTCGAACTCTGGGCTGACACCAATAAAAGTGCTTCCAATTGCCTGGACCGAGCCCTTCCAGCTGAACTGGATGCTCAAAACTTGGTCATCTTTGTCAGGCTGAAAGCATAAAAAAAAACAACAGAATAATCTCCAACGCAGCTGTGACCAGAGAGACACAATTTCTGACTCTAGATTTTTGAGGGCATTGCAAGGTTCAGTCATCCTTGCTTTCCCGGGTGCTACATTTGGAGTACAGCCTTTTCCCTGTCCTCTGGGGCATATGTGATTATTTATCTCAATTAAGCTTCAGCAGTGTTGCGATTCTGTAAACACCAGCACTACTTTTAAAAATAGTTTTTGCAAAGAAAGAAGCTGGACTTGAGGGCGTGCTAGTATTTCTTCTGCTTACGTATACCTGGGGAAATTAGGTTCAAAGCAGTTGAGCCTATGATTGCATCATTGTTCCTTGATTTGTTACCACAGCTTTTATCTCTGGATCCATTTGCCTTATTCACAAAGGTACCCTGCTTGTTCTTACCTTGGTTTTGTTCTTCCGAGTGACATATCCCTTGTAGTCAATTTGGTTGCACTTTTCCTGAAGGTAAAATTGCACCCAGTTGTGCAAACCTAAGATCTGTTTACCATGTCTTGTTTCTCCAACAAAAACATGTTCAAAACCACAAGAATCAGATCTGTAATAAACAAAAGAATAATATATAGGTCTTTTATGTGTTTAAATAGTTCAAATTGGCAGAGGTAAAAGGCAAGAAGATGCACAAGCTTGCTTAGGTTGATTTGTGAGCAGGTTTGGGGGTTTTTTGGTCTGGATTTGTTGGGTTTTCTTTCTTACTTTGCACAAAACTTGCAATGAAATTTAGCCGTGAAGTCTAAATTTGTATTTGATGATCAAGGTTGCTAGTAAATGCCACAGATGCATCGCTGCTGCTTATCCAGATTTTCCCAAGGCTTCTGACACTGTCTGCCATAACAGCCTAATAGACAAACTGATGAAGCACAGATTAGAAAAGTGGATGACGTGGTGGGCTGAAAAGTGAATGAATGTCTGCAGTTAAAGGTCTGTGATTAGGGACACAAAGTGCAGCTGGAGGCAATTAATCAGTGGTGTACCTGAAGGGTCAATACTGTTAGTAGCTGATCAGTAAGTCTTTAAACATGATCTGCATGGGAGCACTGAACACCTGATTTAGGCCATATTCTAAGACTATCTTCCAGTTCTATGTTCCAGATGGAACTCAGACTTATATTTGCCTAAATCAGAATAGTGTAGAGATTATCAGGGGCCATATCCATCAAACATACCTGTCTCCTTCTTTCCTGGCATAGAGCTGGAACCAGATGTCATAGAGCTGATGTTTGAAATTGGCAAGGTTTGGCTTTGCTAGGTTTTTTTTTAAGCAGATATTCATGAGCTAGCTGAAGGATAGAAAATCAAGATACATACACAGTTTACTTTTTAATTCAGTGTTTTCAGTGACTGAAAAAGATCTGTGTTACTTAATTTCATTACTTCTGTCGCTAAGATAGCATCAAGAAAACAATTGTTTTCAACTATTTCTTCTGGAGTCACTACTTCTGCTACACCGGTTGATGTCTCATAATTGTCCAATAAGGAAATAAAGGCTGCAGAAAAAGATAAACTTTTAGCATGCTTATCCTGATGAACAGGCCATATGCCTCATCATACCTGTGATCCCATCATTAGAGACTGCTATTATAAAAAGATGCCATATAATACGCCTTGACAGCCCTTAGAGAAAGACACTCCTTTATACATCAAATTTCATTCTTTGTTATACTGTTAGGTGTAGGTCTAGAGGTGACTCAAGGCCAGCCACTGTTGTAGTTCCTTTTAAGATAAACAGCTCGCTACCGAGCTTCCTTATGAAACCAAGTCCTGAAGCAATAATGGCCTTCTACCAAAACAAATCATACTTGACCACTAAAATTACAGACATAGGCTTATGAACTTAAGCTCTGCTGGCAGGCAGCTTGATGGTCATTACTTCAGTAGAGGAATAACAGCATGAATCTATATGAGATAAGGCTTGAGCATGAGCATGTGGCCACTGAGTGGATGGGTTAGTTTTCTCCTTTGCACCCCTCTTGCTACCTGCTCCCTCCTGTCACTTCATCTACTTGTGCTCTGACACTCAGTGGACTCTGGGGGATGATTCAGCAAACCCAGCTGACAGAAAAAATACTTGTGGTCAAAAACCTAAGTAGTTTCCTGCCAGGTTAGTGAGCTGAAGGGACTTAGTGGCTTAAGAGAGTGTGGCTTAGAGAGGAGTGAGGGGGAACAGGGGAAAATGGTGCTCACCATTATGATAGCTGTTCCATTAGCTTAATGTAAATCTATCTGGGGAAAAGAAAAATCAGGGAAGGAAGCTTACATTCACAGACATGCTTGAAGTATAGCCTCCAACAGAAATACAAGAAGTAGTGCTATTTGAAAGGGCTAGAAGCTGTGAGCAAAGGAGGAAAGATGACTTGGGCATATTTTTCAGTACATGGAATAACATCAAAGCAATGACAAGAGTCTCATCCATTTCACTTTGTAGTGGAAGAACCACAGAGAACTTCAGATTTTGGCTAAGGCACAAAAGGATAGTTCTTCCTGAGGCTACAGGTAACCTCCATGCAAGTGTTGTGGAAACTACCCTTAAATGACACATGGCCTGATGATCCTCACCAAAATGCAAATTATATAAGTTGTATTCAAGGCAAACACATAAAAACTAACATGGATTTTTAATGTCATTTGCACCATTAACAAAAGAATGGGTCTCACTTGCAAAAGTTTGTATGCTCTTCAGGCGTTCTTCATTTACGCTGTGAAACAGGTGTCTGGCTGCGTTGTCCTGGACAGCACTGTCACCTGGCTGTGCGGCACTGGCTTCTCCTAAGTTTAGGAAAGGCTCTTTCCTTGGAGTATTTTTTAACAAAGTTCTTCCTGCGGTTTTCCATGCACTGAAAAAAAAATGAAGAAGTGGCGTTTCATTCAGGAGAATTCTATGTACAAAGCAGAAGTGAGCAGGAGATTGTTAGCAGTGTGCAGCAACACTACACAACAAAACAGGAAGCAAAGAATTCTTGCTGTGATGCTTTTCTAGCAGCATTCTTATATACAACTCTTCCTGCCTTTTTCCTGTAAAACTCCCCACTAGAGAGGCTTTCCTTTGCCCATACACATGGTTTTTCTAACATAAAGTTAGCGTGATGAAGGATGACTAAGACTCTAAACACCGGGTCTGCCTATAATAAAACTCTCTCATGCGCTGATCTCTGATGCACATACGAACCTACCCAGGCTGGTTCTTTCCTCATTTAAATGGAATTTTGTCCTGCATAATAGTGTATGGTTTTCAGAAGTCTATCCATCCATCTGTCAGCAAGATTTAGGAAGGGTTGTTATTGTGATGAACCACACAAAGGTAACTCCAGTTTCAAGGGCATTATGTCCAAACTAACACTTAACATCAAGACAAAAGAACAGAGTGGAGAAGAAAGATAAGTGGATTAATCTTTGAATAACTGACAGTTGAATTAATCACTTATAAATCAGCACATGCATCAAAGCCCAGAGAAGAACTGCTTGATAATTTTGAATTTCTCCTCCAAAGCAGAAGTTCTCAAGGAAAGAAAAAAAGTGCAGAAATTTGTCAACAATGGACATTTTCAAATAGCCATTTGGGCAACTTGCCATGTATTTAACAATTGGTTCTCCCAGATGGAACCAAGGCATCTAAAAGCCCAACTCTGTTATACATTCTCCTTCTGTTCTGCCCAGGATGGAGATACTTGTTGCATCCTCCAGCCAGTGGCAAGTTCCATGCTCTCTGTCAGAAAGGACAAACAAATATTGTGGTAAGTTCATAAACAAGTCTTCTGACGTGGCAGTCTTGATGTGACACAGCTTGAGAGCCAGGAAGAGCTAAAAGTGAGCCAGGTGGGCACCTGCCCCATTGTTGGCAAGGAGGGAATAGAAGTCATAGCAGAAAAGAGAGCATTAATCAAATGGTGGGAGAATAATCTAGAAGTCCTGGTTTGGGTTTTTTGGAGGTTTTGGGGTTGGTTTTTTTTTTTGCTAGTTAAATTACTACAAAGCAGTACAGCAAGATTTTATGTGCCTTCTCTTCTGGACTGTACTTTGTGGCTGGCTCAGAATCTGTGGGTCTAAGCTCCATGTTGAAAGAAAGTAACAAACTGTGCCTGGAGAACTGAGACTTTTTTCTTTCACATTTTTGAGCAATCCTTTTTCTCCAGAATTGTCTGTGTAACTGTGGGATGGAATTCATACAGCCTAAGATTAAAATCCTGAAAAACATAAGCAATCTGCGCTTAACGCCTTGAGAGATTGTTGCCCAAAGGAATTCATATCCCTGAGTTAAGAGCCAGAAGCAGCCAGTGTACATTAATGCACCAGAGGATAAGCTGCAGCAGCTGAGGAACATAAAGAACATACATGATACTCATATTATACTCAGTATTATTTATCATGGGGAAAGCAACGTCCTACAGAAGGGCAGGGCAGACAACCATAAGGACTTTGTCTGGCACACCTCAGCCTGCCTGCAGCTGGGAACCCAAGACATCACACACCTCAGCTGCGCTAGAGACGCTCAGCCCATTTTCACTCAGGCTCTGTGATACTTTGAGATCGTTGGTAATGGAAAATCTACAAGATCACTTGAATTTTAAACTGGGCTTGAATAGGTCTCAGCATCTGAAAGAAGGAAAAGGACTAAAAATTCTCGTGTATAGAAGCCAAAGGAAATGTTTGTTGCTAGGACTAAACACAAATACGAAGGAAGATTTTTTGCTTGGAACCAGTACTTGTGTGGATCTTGCAGTGGAGCAAAAGGAAGCTGTCACAGAGGTGCTACCTTCAGCCCTTGCCCAAACCCCAGGCTCTGATTATACAGCAGAAGTGTGGCTTGTGGCATCACATTATCAACACTGGCTGTGCAGCCCAAACAAGGCACCTGCTCAACTTCATGGGGAGTTAGCCTCACGGCATATCACAGAAGCCACCAATAGCAGCATTTTCTTTATTTTTAGCTGTACCTCCACATTCTTTCCAGAGTCTGAAGATGAGCAACTCCTTCTCAAAAGAGCTTATAAACCAACACTAAACAGAAAATTGTTCATTTCACCAGCTCAGCTGAAGTCTCAAGAACAGGATTGGCAAATTCACAAAACAGTATCGGAGATGTTTTTCAAACGTCAAGTGCTGCCTACATTCATGTTACCTTGGACTGACCTAATTTTATTGGATCACTCTTCTCCTGGGTTCTGGACCCTCCTGCTGTCTACTTCTCTGCCATCAGCTTATCCCATCTGTTTGAATACAGCCATGTTATGTTTAATACAATTTTTCACTTTGGAAGTAGCTATCAGTGGCAGATAGAAGTCTGCTGTATGTTGGACATCCAGGGTATGTGAAATATTAGGGGGGATTTCAAGGGGTTTTTTTTAATATTTTGTTCCATATACATAGTATTTTATATACATATACTTTCGTATGTATGTATTTTGGCAAAAGTCACCGGTACAGGAAATCTGTAATCCCTTCAATACCTACTGTTTGATCTTGATCTGCTCTTGGCAGATTTGTCCTGTGTTTATAAAGGACTGTAGAGTGTTGCTTGATCTTTCTTCCTCTAGAAATGTTATGGAATATCACATGATCTCATGGCGGCAAGCTCAAGGTGTCTACTCAGAAGAGGGTTACAGCAAGAGTGTACCTGCAGATTTCAATCCTTATATTTGTTTAATAAATATACTTAAAATATACTAAATGTATTCCTGCATTCAGAAAATGTGTGGCAAAACTCCAAAGTCACTTAATCTTAGGAATCAAAAGCCTTTTCTCTCCTTTTCCTCTGCTGGGTGCCACCACAATATCATCGTGGACTTTTCCTCTCCTTTTTGTTGTCCCTTTAGTTTCCAAACAGAGCAGAGCACCTGTACACATTGTACCTGAGGATTAGAATAAGGAAAAATATATCCTTGCCAAAGCAAAGAACTTGTTTAGCAACTTACATAGTCATCTTGTAAAAACCCTTTCTGGGCAGTGTTTCTTTTGAAAAGATCCATAAACTTAGCTTACACATATGGAGTGAGACAACTTCGAAAAGAAGCAGCTCAACACATTAATGCAAATCCACGAAATCCTCCATGGTTTTCAGTAGGATTGCATGTATGACTCAAATCAGAGTTTTTATCATGAATTCTCAATCCCCTCCCCATGGTGAAATCTCTCTTAGTGGATAGATTTGTGCATTCACATAGAATAAATTAATTCTGTGCAAGAAGTCTGGCCAATTGGATTTTGTCCAGTTGGAGTCTTGCTTGGATGTGCTTACATGCACAAAGCACCACCCCAATAGCAAGAACACAGTCTGCTCTTGTAAGAGCTGAGAAAACTTTTGGGAGAGCCTCTTTGCAATAGTAACTCTAAAGCACCAGCAGTGCAGCTGGAGCAAAAGAATCTTAACAACTCCATTTTATTATAGCATTCAAGTGAAACATTCACGATGGTGTGCCTGTTTTTCTAAATTATTTTCTTGTAGGAAACCTTCATTCTGCCCCAAGAAGAAGTCTTTTATTGCTATAATACTCAAGACATGAAGAGAATTAAAGGGTCAGTGGTGAGTCATGTGAGCAAGTCAACAGCATCAAAGCAAGAAAAACATGTATTGGAAATGGGTCACATGGAAGGTTTGCTTGAACATCTTCTGTAAAGTAAATTTACCTTCAGAGATCCTTTGAATAACACCCAATTTTTTAAAAAACCTTTAATCTTGACATAGAGAAGAAAAGCATTTGGAAAACCTGATAAGCAGTCATTTACAAGGACTTTCCAATAATTTTTTTAAAAATTGGTTCAAATTGGTGAAATACATGCCTCAGGTTATATGGTTAATAGAGGATACAAGCAATTATCTCAGTTTTCCTCTTATGCCAGTGTGTATGTCTTTTACTCGAGTCCAGTGATGTTTTCCTTAGTTTAAACTTGGTATTTGAAATACAGAAGGATAAATAAGGCAGGTATTGTAGGTGGAAAGGAAAATGCCTGATCAAGGGACAAACATACAAGTGTGCAGTTGCTCAACAAAGACCCTGTCAGGGTCCTGGGCGAGCAGGTGATGTTTGGAGACCCGATTCTATGTTATCACCTATGTTTAAGCAAAAACTGATCTTAGCAGCACCTTATTTTAGCTAAAACATCTTATGATTCAGTTGTCTCACCAACTTTTTACGCTGAGAGGAGTTAGTAAAACAGAACAGAAACAGGAAGCAGGGTTATTGCACCACTGCATTTCACATAACTGCCTTTTACACGTCTCCCAGACGAATATATCCCATCCCCAGAGAAGAATTAGTATGATTTTCTCTTACCCATTAGCCATGTTAGGAAGAAGTTTTTCTCTTAGCAAATACACTGAGCAGGGAAAATGGAACCCGAAGCTCAGAAATCCTTCTGGTAGTCCAAGGAATGGAGCTGTCTTGCTCTTATACTCCGCTCACCCACTCAGGCTGACAGGCAGCGCAGGAAGGCAAGGGAAAGGCAGGAGGTATAAACTCCACAAGAAGACGTGGAGTGTAAGGACAGTACCATGTCTCACGCCTCTCTCAGTCCTGGCACACTCAGACCAGGAAGTCAGAGTCACCTCTGTCAGGTTCCTGCTTCGCCTTATTGCCACACACAATCAGTATGGCAGGGAATACAGGAGGCGATGGCAGAGAGACACACAGCGACCACTTGGGTTTTCAAGTATGAACTTGAGATCCTTGTATGAACTGCAGGCATGAGTCACAGCATTGCTCCTGGAGCTATGTTGGATTATTTGTTAACAGGTTTTAGATCTCTGCATTAATTTTGGGCCTAGAAATATGCTTTTCAAGTCTGAAAGCCTTGAGTGAGATGGACAGGTCATTCTAGTCTTGCTGTTCTATATGGTTATTATTTGATAATAGAGGGGAAGATTATAATAAATCAGGGATAAAAAAAAAATAGGTGGGGAAGAAAAATTTAAAAAATGTGTGCTTCTCTATTTATAGCTGAAATTGACCTTGTAAATATTAGGAGGCATTATAACCAGGAAGCGTTTTACAAAGGCAGCACTTTGCGTGTACTGCTGGAAGGAAGTGGTGGTGCTGTCAAAAGAAAGGGTTAAAAGTTTCCAAACTGAGCAATTAGTCAGGCTTGTACAACTGAAGGAAGAGCACCTGACCTCGGTCACCTTGAAGCCCTGGAATGTACCTAGTCTTGAACAAAGACAGCATAGAAAGCTCCAAGATAAGAAAGCTGTAAATTTCTACTTTACTGTTTCATGGTTGCCGACTTAGAAATATGTGTATGATTGTGGAATAAAGCTAAGATAAAAGTGTATCCTATAATAACCTTAGGTAATTATAATACTAAAACCCCACACCTCTAGATGGAGATTTTATATGTAAATATAGGACTACCCTAGTATAATGTAGGATCACCCTAGTAGAATGAGTTAGATTAAGACATGCTCAAACCTAACTTTTGTACAAGTAACCTATCAACTATTTTCATGTAATTTATTCTTTGTTACAGTTTTTATAAAAAAGACCCTGTATGTTTCTGAGAGGTGCACTGGCTGTTAGTAAATTCCTGGGACCATACTCTCCAACTAGCAATAATGTCAAATGTCTCAACTCAGTGTGTTGATTGGCTCAACACACACTGGGCGAAGAACCCAGATTTGGGACAACAGTGGCAGGTGCTGGGTAAGTGCAGATACCCCTTCCAGCACATGTCCTGGGAAGCATGCATTCATTATGTGGCTAAATTAACCTTCAGATGGTTTAAAGCTTATTTTTTGTTTCATTGATACTTTTAAAATTTTTCTTCTTCATAGTAATTAATTCCCGAAAAACACTGCTTTAGGTTTAGACTGCATATATGTATATACAGAAGCCAAAATGGTTTGATGCTAGGCTAGCAGTTATACAAATGATTCTGCACCTCTGGCCCATGTACCCCTTCAAAGAATCATAGTAGAGTCAAGAAAAGCTGCAGGTAACAAGGATGCCTGCCATATGGAATTGCGTGGGGGGCAAGACAAGCATCTAGCTCACTTAAAAGTGAAGCCTCCTTCTGACACTGGTAGAGGAAATTAATGTATCTCAAAACTGAATATCTTTAATTTTAACAGGATTTTTTCTTTGCCATTTTTTGTTACTATTTATTGCAGTTCTGGATAAGCAAGATAAATGACAAAAATACAGTGCCTGTGTTTATCAACTGAATGCAGGAAGTCTTTTCCTAAGCTTTCATTTAAAATACAAAAGCCAGTGGGCATATTCTGTCCATAACAAAGTTGCAACTCCTTTATTCACATTAGCAGAAAGAGCCCAGATGGGAGCTCAGGGAATTTCCATTTACAAGCAGCAGCATCACTGGAGTCAGTGGATTGAACTTAATCTTTGATAAAATTACAGGTCAGATCAGTAGCATTGCTAGCGATTTCATAACCAAATCTGTTGTGAAACTTCTGTCCTAGGATTTAGCTATTGAGCTAAGAAAAGCTTAAGGATCCCAAAGAGCGTAAACAGGTGTGTTTGCCAACAGAAACAACATGCTGATCAAAGGCAAGTGGGATCAGCACAGAATCTGGGTCTTTCCCAGGTCTAACGCAGGCTGTAAGAAAACCCAAGAGTCCAGAGAGTGGCCTTGCTAGCGCCGTGGGTTGGCTTTCTCTACTGAAGAGATCAGGCAACGCTTTGTCAAACCCGTTGCACAGGGCAGTGTATGTTTGCTGCTCAGAAGCTGAGGTCCCCCTGCTCCCTCTTCCCTTTTTCTGGCACAAGAGAACAGGGAGAATATTTGGTGCTGTCTCACTCGCATGTGAACAGCATTTCCAAAGGAATGGGGCAACAGACTTGTGGAAGACGCTCTGCCTAACAAAACTGCCACCTCAAGCATCAGATGCTGACCTTTGCCAAGGTCAAACATCAAGGAAAACCTGTGAATAAGACCCGTTTCTAAAGTGTGTAGGCATCTCTGTGAATTTCTGGCCTGAGTAAGGTTTACTTGCTTTTCTAACCAAAGCGGCCAATGGCTAAGTGCTGGTTTGTTGCCTCTGATCAGGTGCCTAAACTTCCTCAGCCTCTTTGGTGGATCTAGAGAGGGTGAGCAACTGAGCTTTACAGGCTTCCAGACCAAAGCAGCCAGGCCTCACAAATGTGCAAAGGACTTATTTGGGCTGGACAGACTCACTCAGTGATATAGGAAAGTTTCTGAGACAGACTTTGTTGGACATTCCCATGGGAGCTTTGGCTATTGCTGCCAAGTCTCCACAAGCTGACCAACACTGAAAAACAGTGGAGACATGGCCTGGCTGGTCCGTGGGAACCTAGGCAGGTCAGAGCTCACTGAGAGCAGGGATTGGGGACTTTGAGGTCTCCACCCTTCCTTAAACATTAATTCTCAAGCTGGAGCCTCACCTGACAGATTGTGTCTCACCATGCTCCATGGTCCCTGTGCCCAGCCTGGCTCTTAGTGATCTGTCCAGTTTCCTAAACTTCAGCCTCTCAATCCTGAAGTCCTTCTCTGTAGCCAATGGTGTTATAATCCCTCCACTTGCTCGGGAGTTTCTGGTACAGCAGCTGTCCTCAAAGAGAAAAGTAAGAGGGTTACTCAGCCAGGCATGTTTTTTGTCATAGAAATGCCAGGAATAAATCACTCCATTCCTGCAGCTGAGTGTCTTTACCTAGACTTGTGCAGTGACGCGACCTGCTTATCTTTAGGTTGGTCTGTTAACTTGCTTTTATTTACCACTGTTAATTCTCAGGCTTACCAGGTAAACCATGGCTGACTGCTGAAGGTTCTCACAGCCAGATGAGCCACCTACACAGTCAGCAAACCCAGAGGGTAGGAGAAAGCAAGTGGTTGGAGATGCAGGTGGCTCAGTACCCCTGTGTGAGCTGAGGGGTTAAGGGAGGAAATTTTTTATTGTTTTTTTAATCTTAAGACTGTCAAGCATATGCCTTCCTTGATTTTGTAAGGAGAAACTGTCTAGGAGTCATCGAGGCCTGGTTACTGCAAGTTAAGACATGTTAATTAAAAAGAATTGAAGTGTTTCACGTTTAGCACAGACACAAAGACACATTTGCTTATTAGTCATTAATTTGTACACAAAAACGTAAAGCAGAATTTTAGGCGGTCTGGCTGAAACATCCTTTCTTGTTGTACAGCTCAGCTATTGTGCTTTTCAGATAAACATCACCATTAATGAATCATGGTAATCACCACCAGCCTAGATGAGACTGAGGAGATTCACGGAAAAATTTGGAAGTGCCGGAGCAGGGAAGGCATCCTGGCAGCCAGGCGTCTCTCTCCTTACTGTGGGTTGTGTGCATGTGCTGGCTCTGAAGCAGCACGAGCAGGAGCAGTTAAGGCGTGAGAAGTTTATTTGATGCAATAATGAATTGTGGTGTTGACATACAAAGCTTGAAGCAGGTGTCCCTGCTGATGGCAGGGGGGTTGGAACCGGGTGATCTTTAAGGTCCCTTCCAACCCAAACCACTCTGTGATTCGATGAAGGCAGCGGGGCTTCGATCGCTGGTTAGAAAGGGTGCTGTAATTGATTCCCTTTGCTTTCCCCCGTCATTATTTGTGCTGTTAATAAAGGGCAAAGGGCGTTGTGTGTGCAGTGTGACCATACGGTAAGGGCAGGCTCAGGCCGGCGGTGGCACTGACAAACATTCCGTGTGGGCACGGCAGGTAAACACGGAACCGGGAGCGGTGACACCGTCGCTACAGGGTTTCACTTCGCG